CCCGCGAGACCGGTGTCGACGGTCCTGGAAATTGAGGCCGTTACCGGACAATTCGTCTCTACGCGCGATTTCGTATGGAAAATATTAAATAAAAGAACGTCTTAAACTATGCGAACTAGTTTTTTTTTATTTTAATCTCTTGTGATCGTTATCTCTCTCTTAACTCTGGTAACCGTGATCACCGCCCTTGCCGCTCGGGGCGAGGATCACGCCGAGCCGTCGTCGGACGGGCCCACGCCGCGTCCGAGGGGTATCCGCACTCACGCGCCCCCGGACGTGACACTCAACATAATAGAATCAAATTCACACTGGAAGAATATGAGAATAATAGACTGAACTTTTTGGACATAAATATAAAAGTAAAAGGTAATAAGATCATCTTTGATTTATATAAAAAACATACGAACTCAAGAAGGTTTCTAAATTATCACGCGAATCATCCTATTGTCCATAAAGAAGGTGTTTTTACGTCATTATTGGACAGAATTGTATTCCTGTCACATCTAAGCTTTCACAAAAAAAATATCACGAACATGATAGACACTCTATTAAATAACGGTTATCCATTAGATTTTCTATTTAATACAATATATGATAGAATCAAATCTTTAATTCACAAAAATGATTACAAGTATACAAATCAAAATGAACCTATAGATATTAATATTAGAAAATTTTTTACTTTACCATATGTCAATAATTTAACTGAAAAATTTAAGAATGTATTAGGTGTTAAACTTAATTCCTGCCGTTCTTCGTCTCCAAAATTGATTTGTTTCGAAGGAAAGAATGAATACCTTAATCAAAGTAATTTCCTCCATTTCCTACTTTATTACTAATTAATAATACTTCATTAATAATACTTTGATTAAGGTATTTCCCTTCGAAAATTAAAACTAGAATAAAGGAACACAAAGCAGACATAAAAAAATTAAATAATCTCTCAGTAGTCTCATATAATCGGCTTAATTTTAATCAGGAAATGGATTGGAAAAATATTGAAATTTTAGACTCTGAACCATCATTTTACAAAAGATCCATTTCTGAAATGATCCATATTAAAAAATAAGCTGAGGGGATAAATAATCAAAGTGATACAGAAGAACTACCCGTTTCCTACTTACCGATAATACAAGCAATATCATAGTTCTAAAAATTACTTTGAAAATTATACTAGATGGCAACTAGTTACCTTCCCACTACCTTTTTTGTTTACCCTTTCCTATTTCACAATATTTCCCCTCTCTTTTAATGATAGAGGCCTTCTAGAGAACTTATAAAATAAAGAAATTACAATCTAAACTCGTTTGGAACCAATCTCTGATAGTAATAATTTGACAAGAAGTAACCTTTCATTGTGAATCATCAAACGGAAATTCAAGATATGGGTAATGTTATTAAAGAAAGTTATATTTTTGTTTTTATTAAAAAATTTTTTTATTTTTATTAAAGAATTAGCTCCATACTTGAAATTCAAAATTTATTACTGGATTTTTATCCTAGTTTGGAAATTTTATCTTATAATTTCAATGATATTATATCAAATTGACAAGCAATTATGCATTGGCGGATACTATCATTTAATTAAATATGAACTATGGATTGAAATTTTAATTTGACTAGAGGATACTATGATTCAATTAAATACGAAGTAAGAATTAAAATGTTAATTAGACTAAAGCATATTAAGTAATTGAACAATTACATTGTAACGTTAACCGACAAATTATTAGCGCACATAATTTAATATTTTAATGTTGATTTACGATTGTAATACTGAGGATGGCGATATTCAAGGCCGAAACGTCTATTTTTTGTTAATGATAGGGTTATTTTATTAATGTATATTACTTATGTCGATCTAATTAAATAATTTTGTAATTTTTTGTAAACTGTATCAAGAATATATACATTATTGTCACTAATAAGATCAAGTGTGTGGCGAATGCTCAACCTTTTTAATTGTTTACACGGAGAAAATTTTATATTAAGTTTTAATACAATGTTAAATTACATTTTACTATGTTTTGTATTTTTAGATGGGCCCTCACAACGATATTCCGATGTAACTTTTACTATGGTAATATTAATTTTATCACACATAAATGAAGTGATTTTTATTTAACCAGTGCTTAAATCATGGAAAGAGTTAATTTTGCTTTTTTATTATCTTTACATAGCTAACTTTTATTCAACAAGGTTTGATTTTGTAATGAAAAAATTTATGAAAAAATTACTATGAAGAAGTGTAAAAATTACTTTATATTATTGCATTTAAACTTATAAGTACACGATGGTCCGCAGTTACTACCACATTATAGTAATTTTAAATATAAAATTTTCTCCGTGTAGTTATAAAGCTCCGTGCACAACATTAGGTGCAGCAATAAATATCAAGGTTTCAACTTACATTATAAACCGCAAATTCCGAAGTAACTGATACCTGATAGGTAGAAATCTCAGTATTTATTGCTGTTCCTAATACTTCTTATATTGTGTATAGGACTTAAAATGTCAATAGTATAACTTCGTTGATATCGGGTCTTGTAAACGTAGTATAAATATGTACCATGAGCTTCAAGCCCAAATCGGAGAAAGGTGTTACAACCTTTTGATGACCGGTTGTATGTACATTTCGATGTCCAGGCACGAAATCTTCTATAATATGTGCGTATGGTAGATTCCGCATCTGTACAACCCAATGTATATATATTTGAATGTACAGAACCGAAATCTGCAATAAAATATGCGAATGGCAGATAAGTGGTATACTACTAAGACTCCGGGTGAAGGACATAATTAACAAAAACATAACACCCCGTTAGCAAAACCTACAGGATGGTCTTGCCAAGAATTTGTCATTAGACATTCCATTATCCGTGTATATCTTAAGATATATGTGCGTATGAAATATTCCAAGATGTCCTGGAATCTGCCGTACGCATATATTATTCCAGACTTCGGGTATGTACATCGAAATGTACATTGAACCTGTCACAAAAAACTTGTAACACTTTTCCTTCGATGTATTTCGTAATTCCGATTGCT